AATCATCTACGATCACGGCTAATACAGACATACCTTCCAGCAGGTAGCAATGTCTAAAATGTTTGTAAAGGATATTTTACGAGGCGGATTTAAAAAATGATGGACCTCACCGACAAACTCAGTCGTCCATGTTTAACTGGCTCTTTGCCAGAATGTGAATACATATGCTTGATGTTCCCTGATATATGGGGAAAATAAATTCTCAAACTGAGTTATTGCATTTCCTTATATGCATGCACAGTCCTGTTACTATTTTGGTGGTATCCGAGGAGGAGCCTGATCAAAGTGCGTGAAGGAATTTTACAGCTGTGATATGTCATTTGGGTGGTTTTTTTTGGGGGGTGTCTAAATGGTTGTCAGCATGTTAATAAGTACTGCAGTGTGCGTTTTGCTGGCTGTGGGTGATTCCTTGTGAGATGCCATTAAGTAACTAAGAAAACTTGATGAACTTGGCTGGGAGAGCATGAAGCTCTGGGCTCTCACATTCCTGCCTTTTCCTGCTCCAGCCTGAATCCTCATTACTTAGCCTTGATTGAGATTTTTTATTTATTTTTTTTTTTAAATAAATTGATTGCAGCACATGTTTCAGATCAGGCTTGACAGACTGCAGATCCCTGTCTTGTTTCATTAATGTAAGATTTTAAAGAGCGGTCGTGAAATTTGTTTACTTTTCATTTGTGAAATTCAAGTAGAACAGAAAAACTGATTCTGTTTCCCGTTTTACCTAGTTTATGAATTATTGAATAAGCTACTCTGGTCAGAAACTAAAAAGTATTAAGTCCTCTTCATTTACAGCAATGGGCAAAGATGAAAAATAGAGAAACGCCTTTGATATTTTTCACATTTTTTTTTTTTTTCCTCTTTCAGTTAGCAATAATCTTATTTCATGCGACTGAAAAACGTAATGCATTCTGTGCAGTCAGGCCAATCAAGCTTGAGTAATTAATGGTTCAGCTGCAGTGAAAACCAGCAAAATCCCACCACCCTCCGGACCGGAGCTGGAACCACCGCATTGGGGCGGAGCAAGTAGCATCACGGTTTATTTGGTGTTATAAATGTCAGATAACTGGGCCTGAGAAGGAGCTGAAACTGAGTCTGATGTCTTGCACGTTACTAAAAACTGATTTGGAGACATTGTACCAAAAACAGGGGGGCAGGGATCAATGGAAAGGCCAATAGCCTTCAGAAGCCCAGAACTTTTATCAAGTTCAGCGCTCCTGGTTCATGAGTGGGGGCTTTAGTGAGAAACATTCCTGCAGTTTTCAGTGCAATGAACAACAGCCCTGTCCTAACAGGGAAGCATGGCGAGATGGACACAGGTCCCAAAGTCGTTTGGCTTCTAGACAGGACAAAGGGAGACGGGTGCAGCAATCTGTGTTCACAGCTTCTGATGGAGCGGCCCTGTCGTATCTGGACCAGCCTCAGTTGGCCAATGGGAAGAGCACTGCAGACTGCCTCACCCCACCCCACCCACTTTGCCTCTACTCTTGTGAATTATAGTAGCACTTTAGCTAATGAAACGGTTTGGGTCCAGGCAGTAATAAAAGCCATTAAGTGAGTAAAGAGCTTCCCCCCCTAATGAAATTAAAGTCCTGCCCCTTTGGGGAGAGGACACATTGTATTAATATTTATGAAGTGCAGAAGCAAACGCAACCCCCCACCCTACCCCAAATGCCTCCCAAAGAAAATGCAACTCTCCACCTTTGGGGGAGGGGGATGTGGATGGTATGCTCTTAGAACAGTCTTTTCAGTTCAGTCTCGACATCCAAACTCATGAGTTCACAGCAGCTCTCGGGCTGCCTCCCAGTTTGGGGTTCCCTATGGTGCGGGTCCACCCCACCAATGGGAACAAGCCGCCTTCCACCTTGGAGACCACATCTGGAAAGCCTACATAGGTTGGTGATTGAGGTAAGAAACACTTAAAGTGGCTTGATTTCCTGATGCACATTGATGGGAAATTACTTGCAGATAAGGCTACAAATCTTCAGGGTTTGATGTCCTGACTGACTCAAGATCTTTTTCTTGGTTTAATCATAGTGTCTTTCGTAGAGAAGATGAGGGAATTCAATAGATGTGACTTTGGAAAATGTGCTGGGAATGTAGACATTTTCAAAGTCATGTCCCCACTGTCAAAGAAGGTCTAAACCACGGAGAGTGATCAGGTTCAAATGAATGGGGAGATACGGGTGAGGGATGGAGAGGAATAAATGTAGCAGGAGGAAATGGGGTCAATGCTGGGTTAAAACACTATAGATACTGACAGCTGCAGAGAAGCAAGTGAGAAAGTCAGACATTCCAATGGACCAGCCAGTGGACAGGTAGGGAGAAATGGAGGATATTGCATGAACCTGATGAGACCTGATGAGCAATGATATTCTGTGAATTCACCCTCATCTACCGTTCCATCTCCCCATCCATGTGTCCTTTTTGGCTAAGCCCTATGATGTGGTTGTCTGCCTGCATGTTCTCTCTGTTCGCCCGCTAGCTGCCGTCGTCTTTGTCTTCATACTGAGGAGGTCATGTCACTGTCCATTGCCAACCAAACCCCCAAGGCCCTGTCTAAAATAGCCCACGGGGGATTGGGAAAGGGGGGCAATAATTTTGTTATTCAATTCTCTAAATCCTCTTAGGAGTTGGTGGGGGAGAGCGGGGGCTTGTCGTTGATTTACTGTCCATCAGTCATGTCCATTTTGTCAGACCCAATTTCGTTAGGAGCCCATTGGCCATTCAGCCAAGGTCCACTATGTGAGTCTGGGTGTGGTGGACTCAATAGAACGATAACGAAAGACAACATCAGCCTATCCAGTCTTCAGTACCTTTATTGGCTCAAGAACAGACTGATGTCAATGTGTCAACCTCTTCCTATGCGAATAACAGCGACTAAATGAACGCAACTCCTGGAAGAGGGAAAAAATCAGTCAACCAGATTTCTATAGATTCAAGTTTTAGCTGTTGTTCTGTAACTCGAGCTGTTGGCAGTTTATTTTAAAGAAATCTGCTTTTCAGATATGATGTAGCTTAGCAATGACAGCGATGCGATGCGGAGGGGGCGGAGCGAGGCAGGGCTCCTACGCATAAGAAGGCGGGGTCCACATTTTTCCGCAGTGGACATGACTTGGGCCAAATCCTTTTGTCTCCGAGTTGCTCACCTCTGCATCATACGTTATGCGCCGCCTCCCTCCCCACCCAATTCGATCGGCTCAGAAGGACAGCGACTCATCCGCTCCCTCATCGCGCACAAAACGCCGAAGCCGCCCTTCGCCCCTCTGCTGCTGCCACCATTTTGGCGTTGAGCTTTGGGTCGAATTCTTCAACACTGAGCGGTAAGTTCGACGAAGACCTGCAATTAGACTACCTTGAACCAAAATGGGGAAGAACTGAAAAGGGGGGGGGGGGGATTTAAAGGTTTGGTAGCCAGAATAATGGAGTCGCACTCTTAGCCAAGATTAGATTGGGGGAGACGTGATCACCAGACAGGTATGCTTAGGGACTCTGAATTAATTCCCAGAGATTTGTGCTCATGTACACTGTTGTCCATTTGCTCTATGGTTGATGGTCTATGTGAATGTGCCGTATAATTGTTTGGCATTGGCATGTTGAGTAGTCTTAGTGAGATAGACTTCCTCGCTGGGTGTATGGGGACCTCAGGGTGGGGTGGGGTGTGGGGATCTGTGATCAAGCCCATTTGCCTGCTTGCTACAGAGATTCTGCCGGCTTCCCAGGCTCTCACCCCGGTTGCCCGGGACCCCATTGTGCTTGATCTAACCATGTGGTTCCCCCTCGGTCCATGGTTGTGCCAAGCACTCTGGGGTCCCGTGAGCCCCATCCTCCAGCTTACAGCCCTGACCCGATCCAAAGAACGAAGCCTGCAATAAGAAGTCTGCCTTGGCGGCGACAACCCTGTCCGATACCTATACACCCGAGACAAAGACATTTTGTTAATTCATTGTGATCAACTCTGTCAGACTATTACTACCTTGCAATGTCAGCTTATTCTGAATTCTGAATAAATTTGAAGAGGCTCAACTATTACATCTATGTTTATTGCTTTTGCGTGATTATTGACTAAATTCACAATGGAATCAGTATTAAACAAAAGGTGCTACTATTACTACTAATTAATACTACTATTGTGTATGTACCTCCAGCTGAATTTTCAGGGATTTACTAAATTTACAGATGACTCTGGGTATTGCAAGAAATAGCAGCACGCAGAAGTATCCTGGGAAAATTTTGATATCATGTTGATTTTAACTGTTAATCAGTCTATTCATCATTTTTCTCTTGGTGTACAAAAGCGTTAGATAAAAAGCACCATGAACCATACAATGAATAATCTCATAACCTGTCAACTAGCCGCTTTCATTTTAAGCTCAGTTGCACTGTCTATTAAACTAAAAAATCTGAGTCAGAGAGAAACACAATAGTGGACGAGGTTTGAGTTTTCCTTAAAGCTAGCAGAAATAGCACCAGTAAAGAAACCAAAAATGGCACTCTGCTTACATTACAGTGGTATAAGAGGAACACAAGACAAGGCTTTTCATTGATTTGGCAGATAGCGTCAAATTCACACCAGTGGTAAGTAGCATACAAGTCTACACACAAAGTCTCGTAGGGGATGCTGATGGAAAATTGTGGATAGAATTCTACACGATCACTGCATATTTGAACCCAATGGGCAGCCTGTGGTTAGCCTGACTGACATCATTGCAGCTGCATCCACTTTATGAAAGCGTCATTAACGCAATTTTAGAGGTGAAAAATCCTCAGTGCAAAGTCATCTTAATTCAAGAAAAAAAAAATTCTAATTTTAAAACTAGTCTAGAAATAGAGAAGACCGCTCTGTGTCATCATTAACCTTCATTAGTGTCCGAGGTCACGACAAATGACCGGCTGACAGACATTTTGTTCAATGTGTATTTGAGATGAGGTGGCAGGTGGGGGAGAGGAATATGTATGATAGCTGGACCTCAGAAAGCAAACAAGTCAATAAAAAAAAATATTATTATTATTATTATTTATTGGAAAAATCAAAGACAAATCACAGCAGGCATGTAAAAGGCAGCACACTTGGTTGCGAGCCTTCAGACAGCTGTCCATCCATCGTGAGCATGGAAGTGGGCTTTTGGGGCTGAAGGAGACTGATCAGATTGCCCGCACAGAATTCCAGACTCCATGTCGGCTGTCATTCGCTCGCACTCTCAGCACACAGTATGTGAAACATTAAAAGGGTTCCGTGCACATGTGGTTCATCTCCAAAGGCTGCCAAGTTAAGGACAACTGGGGAAGCACAGCGGGCCTGTCATTAAAGCGGGCTCTGGCCCGGGACAGCCATAGCCCTACATTCACGCCGCATCCCTGGCATCATGGGCAACCATATCCTGAATCATATAACTGCTCATTGCTCCATGGTGAACTGCATTCAGTAGCTGAGCAGGGGACTCTGGTTATGGTGGTCCATGGTAACAGGGGATGTTATTAGCTGCTCTGTGGGAGACATACATGAAGGACATGTAAAGTCAGGAACTAAATCAAGTAAAGTTAGTAAACTAAGCTGGATCATCATAATATTGGCATGGTAAGTGCTGCACGCGCACATGCACACACAGATACACATAGACACACAGAACTATTTGGGCTCTAAATACTCTAAAATTACATTGTGGGTTAAATCATCATAGATGCAAGTTTATATGGAATATAAACTTGCATATAATGGAATATTAACCTAAACCAGCAGCCCCTCACATTATCTGAATGGCCCACAATTCAAACAGAATGTGGAAAGCTAATGAGACAGCAGTAACAAAGCCCTCCACTGTCTGGGGATAGCCCATCCATAGCCCATCCACTTAAACGGAAGTGACCTTTTTCCCAGTGTCATATATGCATCCATCTTTCTCCAGGATAACCTCCCTCATTGTACCCTTGCCCTCCACTGCAGGGCGTGCAAAACTAAATATATAAGACAATGCTGGGGCATTCACTGCAGTCACTGCAGTCTAGTTAGCCTTCAATAAAACTGTTCACACAATTTATTGGATATGAAATATCATAAGGACCTACATGACATGCCAGAACAGTCCAGCATGCATTTAAAATTTGGAATCACAATTTGGAATCGCAGAGAGAAAAATCAGAGTGTGTAAAAAAAAAAAAAAAAAAAAAAACACAGAATACTGCCACAAATATTTTCTCAAGTGCCTTCACATCTCTTACCAAGGTTGCTAGGGGCGGGAAACCCGACCTTGCTAGGTGACCCCAATACCGTGACATCAACTCAAAAGGCAGGAGAAGGCCGCTGCAGTGATTAAAACATGCACTCACGCCCAAACCCATCTGACACAACACTACAGCTGGGTCAGGAAGTGAGAAACACCTTAAGCACTGACAGCTGTGTCACGTGACATAGGGCACCCAATGAGGGATCGCCGAGACAGGTTTACACGGTTATCGAGGATACTTTGTCGTGACAACAAATTCCATTACAGCATATGGGAAACATACAAATGTAACAATTTGGGGGGAAAAAAAAAAAGTATAAGGAACCATATTCTCACATTACCAGAATGTTTCTTTCACTCTGTACAGAGTTATATAAACTCTAAGGGGTTTGAAACCAACTCTCTGTCAATCTGATGTCCACATTAACAGACTGACACTCCTACTTACAGTGGGAGCCAAATGAAACGAAATGTGGAAAGAGGTCCGTCGAGTTTCCTACAGCTTGGGATTGATTTCCAAAACCGACAGACGACAAAGTGAGCACTATTGATGCAGAGGCTTCACTGAAACACAAACTAAGCTGGCACCAGCACACAATAAATGAGCTTTTGAAAATTGCTTGGCGCTGAGGATGTCACGGCTGAAATAAGACACTAGAGGTTATTCACTGAAAGGCTGTTAAAGGTGACCAAGTCATCCGACATCCCTAAAGACCTAAGAGAACGGCAAAGCAGGTGAAAAATCCTCCGTTTTGCAACTAGCAAAACATCACTGTTTTCACAAACAGGATCCCTAAATCCGCTTGTCTGACTGGGGGCAAGTGCCACATGAGCGCAAAGTCTCGTCAGAAGGTTCCTGGCGCCGCGTTCAGATAGCACCACTACTCTCTCTCCCAGATATTTGGCATTTAGTTACGGAGGTAACAGTACAGTGCCTAGACAACGCCTTCAGGGTACCACGAATGTCCGGTGAGTGAGCATATCCTTACCCATTCCAGTTAACGTTATTTTTCTGAGCGGGGAACTAAATGGCCAGCATAACAGGAGCAGCCCACTCAGTTCACTGGTTCACAATGTTCAAATGTCTGGTGTGCCATCAAATGCTCTCAGGAGTGAAACTGTCTTGGCGTGGGCCCCAAGGTGCTCTGAATGTGGCGCTCTGCCAGGTCCCTCCACCACATTACAGAAACACAGTCCTGCTATTTGGTAGTGCAGAGTATGGGGGCGTGTCCGAGGGAGGGCTCCGCCCCCTCACGCTGGCCAGACCCACTCTCAAGCGTACTCCATGCGGCCGGGACCCCCTGCACGCCCAGTGTCTGCACTATGGAATTCCTGCATGGGTTTGACCATGCTCATGTAGTCCTGCATGCCCACCTCCTGGTTGCGGGCCCGCAGAGCAGCAGCATGCAGCTTCTCCAGGAAGTCGGGCATTCCTGAAGGGCAGGGAGAGCAGAGGTCAGGGAGGGCATGATGCCAGGAGAAAGAGGGCAACAACGGAAGACTGCATCACTCAAAGTGGAATTGACACTCTGCTAGCCAAACACAGTGCGATGCACTTTTACGCTACAATCACCAGGGCCCTGGCTACACGGGCAAATCACGGCAACACGCCCATGGTCAGTGTCAGACTCGTGGCGGCGCAGGGAGCTCCTCACCGCTGGACACCATCCAGCTGACACAGTAGCGTGGGATGGCAGTCTGGGGGTCATCTCTGTAGGTCAGCAGGTAGTCGAAGCCATTCTGTGCTCAGGAGCAGAAAGAGAGCCTATCAAATAACTGGTCTAAAGGTCCGATGAGCAGCTAAGTGTCTGTCAGTTGCCACAAACCAGCCCACCCCCAAGCCAACCACTGACCTCATCAAAAGACCGGTGTGGACGAATAACCATCTGAGACTGATAGGAGTGCACCCGGACGAAGTCCTTTGTTTCTGGAACTAAGGGGTGTTCCACAGCCCTGCAGAGAGAGCAAGACGGGATTGAGTTGGGGGAGTCTGTTGTGACAGTGCCACCTACTGGTAAGGAGGCCAGATGACAAAATGCACCTGGAAAACAGCACCATGAGGTTCTTCTCCACATCCACGTCGTAGCGACGTACGTAAACATAGTCTCTGGAGTACATGGGATACTGTGGGTGATACAGAAAAAAAAATAAAAAATAACTATGTATAACAAGGTCTATAACTTTACAGGCTACCGATTCAACAAAACACTGCCACATTCTAAACTGGAAACAAGTGAAGGCAGGCTAATTTTATTATTTAAAATTTTTAATGGTAAAGTCTCAGAATATCCTAGCATAAATCAATAGTTACCAATCAATGAGAGTCAAAAATAGCATAATATGACAACAAATAAGACAATCACCAATTAGCACTGTATTCATCACAGTAAATGGACCTTACTGGGAAATGTGTGGCCCAGTGCACAACTTCCGTGCCGGTACTGGCATCCCTGTCCACCACATCTAGTTTAATCACCAGGGAATCCCACTTTTTCCTGTACTCTGTGTCCAGCTGCGACAGAAGGGCAGAAATCCCAAAACAGAAAAACAGTCAAACTCAAAAACAGATTAAACCTGCTTAAGAAAGTCCATCCCCTTATTAAGATGAATAATTTCTTGAAAAATAGATTTTGTCTATGGCAACATCCCTTAATGCCAGTTTTTCCACAATTTACAGTATCAGTGGCAAGACGGCTCATGCTAATACTGCACACATGGAGACTCTACCTGGACATTGAAGAACTGCCTGGGGGTGATGTCATTGTAGGTCCCCAACACTACAGAGAAGACAGAGACAGAACAGGGTGTGAAAATAACAGGAAGGCAGGCAGCCCATCCAATCAGGATAAGGGGGTCAGCTGACCACAGACAGGCAAACTAATATACATTGAAGTCAAAGGCTCGTCTCAGGTTAAGGCAAACAAAGCCACCAGTAACAGACCTCTGTATTCATAAAGATGGCTGTTCAAGATGGGCTTGCGCCACACCCAGAAGTTCTTCTTCTCCATGACAATTTCCCAGCCAGAGTCTTGCTGTCCTGGAGTCTTTGCTGGACAGGGGGTCTGGTTCTTTATCTGCTCCATCATTTGGAGCTCTTCAGCTGACCTACAAACACAGAGTAGACAAAGTTTACTTCATTCTAATTTGCAATTATATGTATTACAGGCTCACACAAAAAAATAAAACTCTTACACACATATTAAGGTGCGTGTATGTGGATTTGGAAAATGTAGTATTGTAAACAATTTCCGTGTACTGCTAGAAGTGTAGAAGTCGCAGGTCGGGCCAAGCAACACGCCTCGGTGTTATTCAATATCGCGATACTATTTGATTATGCTTGTTATTTGCATTTAACGAACAGTGTCCAGTTTTATGACCATGTGCTACTTCGGCGGGCTTTAAATTAATTTTACGTTAAGTCAAATTAAGTATTGCATAGTGCTCTGCAGATGAATTAAGTGCAATGTATATTATATGAAAAGGTGATGCGGCTGCTGACTCGGTCCTGACTGGGCACCTGCACGGAACAACCTTTTAAAATCAGCCGCACAATGTCATTGGGCACGCTGATAAAGCACGATACTATTAAGCCAATATTTACCAGAGATAGTAGCTTTACTAACCACACAATGACATCTTTAATAGCCTGCTCTAATAGCGATTTATTTGCAATTTCGCTGCCTACCTTCGGATTTCTTCGTCTCGAATCTTCTCATCTTCCCACATGAAGATTCCGGCCAGCGCCGCCACCAACTTGCCCACCTTGCAGTGCTTGTTCTGGAAGCGGTACCAGAAAGAGCCCACGAGGCTCCAGCGAGTGTTCTCGGCATATAGGTTCGAGTACAGCTCGCCGATCTGACAAGCTCGCCGGAGCCTCTGGCCAGTGACAAAACTGCACTGGTTGGCGAGTAAGGAAAACATGGTTTTCCGCCTGTTATCGTGCCCGCTCCCCTTAGCACCGGCCTTATAAAGACGCGAAAGTCTACTTCCGAGCCACTCCCCGGCCCAATTTCTGCTTTTCCCTAGCTTCTCACTGCAGAATCCACTGAAGGTCTGGATCCGCGCAGTAACCCCGAAAATCGGGCGGCGTCGGAGAAACGGAAACATTTTTGTTTACGAAGCAAACACGCTCCTGACAGCGGTATCAAAAAGTCGTGCAGAAGTCAGTGACTGCAATCTGCAACGCACAGATACACAGTTGTACAGTTAGCCAACTATCCCAACACCCCGAGTAATAACATGTCGGCCGAGCAGGAAGGCCAAAATCTTCGCGATTGCTTTCCAGTCAGCCGATAAACCCTTTCTACGTCGGTTTATATGAATACGCTTCAGAGTGGTGACAGCTTTGCAGTCAAACGACAGTTGTCTGACCTGACAATCAAACTGAACCACGAGCACTTCGCGAAGATTGTAAGCAATTCGGAAAAAAAGCGGCGTTTCTGTGCAACGCTTTGTTTCTTCAAGTAAAATAAACTGCGTAACGTCTACTTTTTCGTTTGGTTAAGTTTCCAAACTAATCTTTTCGACGTGATTATCCAAAATACAAAGAGCATCAACAAGTTCACTGTAAATACGATTATATAATACAAACAATTCAAACGATGCTAACAAGGTGTTTGAAAGAGATACACAATATTGAAGATTTGTACCACCGTCACCAGCAGCTAACGGGCAATACCCTTCAGTACCCTTTGTCAGCTGGCAAGCTACCTATCCTATCCTAAATTGTGGCTTGGCTTGTAACCCTGTACCACACCATGCTTTGCACACAGGCTCATTAACCAGTTACGCTGACAGTTCTAGAACAAAGTTGACAAAAGCTCTACTCCCATTGGTTTTCGTCAACAGAAGTACAATTCTCATTTGTTGTCGTTACTGTCGTTCTCAAAGTTAACCAATCACATCGCACTCGCGATCCCTAGCATGCTCGAGATCTTGAAAACGTCAGGAAAAAGAACGTCAGAAAAACACGACGGCACTGGCACGGCCCCTTGAAAAGATGACCTAGTAGCGTGCCTGTGAAAGAAGCAGTCGTCGTCTTTTTCACATATCATCGTTCTACATGTATAAACATAGATTCTTCACGCGTATGCTTTCTAGAGAATAAGGTAAATAAAATATATTTACCAAGGCTATGTGCTGGTCAGAAAAAAAGCTGTGCCTACGTATAATTCAAGCGTTGGACCCTGACTAGGCGGGAGAGTGACGCATTTGAGACAGCTATAGTTGCGAAGAGTGTACTTATTGCACCCGGAATCTGTTGTGCATTTGTTTTGGAATTGCCCTGTTGTCACGAATTTCTGGCAAAACCTCTGTAATTTTATTTCTGAACGTATTGTTAAAAACTTTATTTTACTGTGGAAAAACGTATTGTTTGGTCTCACAGAAAATGACACATTTAAAAAGTCTCATGTTTACATAATTAACCTTATTATTTTGATGGCAAAATTTCATATTTATAAATGTAAATTTGCGAGTAGTAAGCCATGCTTTATTGCCTTTGAGAAAGAGTTCAAACAATACATCTGTTCGATTAAGTACTCTTCTAAACAAAAGGCAGTTAGGACTTTAACGGCTTGTTCAGTATTAGGAATCTTTATATAGATCTTTTTTGTTTTCTTCCCCTCTAGCGTTAAACTCTATATTTGATGTTTTATATTGGACTTGTATGTCTGCTTGAAGTTAATAAAAAAAAAGAGTGTACTTATTGACCTGTGGGGCATTACTGACCTACTGAATTGCGATTTTGAACTGTCTATGCTACTTGTCAAACTCCACTTTTCACCTGTAGGTATTGTTATATTGAAGACTGCTGTATAAGCACAGTTGTAGCCCACAATTGGAAGAGGTCCAAGAATGTTAAGAGCTGGCAGGAAAGAGGTATATGGTCAGTGACTCATCTAATGGATGAAGAAGGCACGTGGCTGAGACAGGATTTTAATCAGAAATGTGATCTGAATTGTTCTTTGGCTGAATTTTCTAACGTACTGTATAGTATACCTACAGCATTTTTGGCCTTACTTTTGAAATAACTATCATACACCAAAATTGCATAAGTTAAATATTGGCAATGGGGATTTTTGGACAAAAAAAACGTAGTTATATTTTTTAAGAAAAAAATGTATTCATTCCTTATATCCTGGCCCAGCGAAATGAAATAAAGATTTAAGAGAATATGGACAATTGGAAATTGAATCCATAAGAATAAGGTATTGAAAATACATGGTTGCTCCAAAAGTTAAAGAATTGCAATTTAAAAATCTTAATGACATTATACCCATCAAAGGAGTTTCTAAGATTGTTTTAATTTGGAGGTAAACAGCTGCCGGCTGTGTGATTAACATATACAGATGACTGACCATTTGATTTATGATTGTATAACCGTCCATTAGTTGTAGTTGGATGTATATGACTGGATGGGAGAGAGTTCTTTGAATATGGAATCTCCTTCTTTCAATGTTATGTATTAGATCACAAAAATATTGAGTTTTTGGTTAATGATATTATTATGGTAATGTTTTTATACATAAATGTAAAGTTACAAAACAGTCCCCAAATATTAATGCTTTTCAGAATGATTTTAACTTGGCATATAATAAATTTATTTAAAAAACAAGTTAACCACTGACCATAATTTATTGACCCTTGTGTCAGAATATAATTAGCCCCTGGTACCCCTTATTTTTGTTTGTTGTCATTAGTTGATTTTGTTTAACTTTTAAATTTTGTTTTTGAATAAGTCTCATATGTTTAATGGTGGATATTTGTTGTTTAATAATTTGAAATTACATGGTTGACCTGGTGCATTTTGGTATGATTGTTAAAATGTATAGCTTCATAAAGCGTGTTTCTTGTTAGAAAAGGGGGGGGCAGGGGGGAGTTTCGGAGAGCGTTTCATGTGGGACAAGTTTGAACATAATTATAAACTTTAGTATAAATGTCAAAAAAAGCAGACTTCTCACTTAGTGCATGTAAGCACAAAAATTGACAACTTTGACAAATAGCATATCATATTAGCATCATAGTATAAAAACTGCACAATCCATCTGTTACTTAGAAGTTCTTAATGGAGACACCCCCAGGATTAGTCTAAAAAAGGCCTTATAACCCTACACTTAGCTATAGTTACTCCCAATAGGTTGGGAGTAAATAGATGATAGAATGACGTGTCATGTGGCAATAAAGATTCTGATTCTTTTTTTTTTTGTGGTAGTGTGGTAGCTCTGAGGCTAGGGATTTGTGCCAGTAATCGGAAGGTTGCTGGTTCAAATCCCCTGAATGCCAGGAGTGATCCTATTCTGTTGAGCCCTTGAGCAAGACCCTTAACCTGCAATTGCTTTGTCCTGGGTATGATGTTAATCTACATCCAACCCTATAAGGAGGTCCTCCAACTTACAGGGAAATTTGGGGGTTGGTGGCAGAATTAGCACTCCAGCCACTGGAAAAAGACAATGCTGGTCCATTCAGAATAGGGTGGTGCTGAGGCATCACCCGCTGCATGGATGCACTCAGGTTCTCATCCCAGAGGTGGTTTGTTGTGTGATGGGTGCAGCAACATGCTGTGATCTGCATGACCTCCTTACCTACCTAATATAGGTTAATCATTACAGAACCATGATCTACAGGGTTATGGTCCTACAATATTTGAGCAAAACTTTTCATTGCGGATGCTTTAAGATGTCTTATGGGACAACGTCTGAATTTTGTTTCTCTTTTCAAACTTTGGGAACCCACGTTAAAATATAATCGTTCACCGTTTGCAATAAACCAGACTTCTTTGTATTTCACGTTGTTAATTCGCACAAGATTGCTGCCTGCGGGTGTGAGCGGAAATGTGTGGCATAGGGCGCTGGGTTTTTAAGCAGCCGCCTGTCATTCAGCCGGGTCCGCGTCATTTCGGCGGGTCTTTCGCTCCGGATTGTTCACCTGCAGGATCGGCGCGGCGGCTCCTTCCTGAGCTCCGAGTTTTATCAAACCAACGTTTCTAATGCAAAAATTAATTCGAGGTATGTTTAAATGTGTCTTGTTATTATTAGTCGCTTTTGTTTCGATTTTGTGATATACAGTCGATAAAAATATAACTGTTGTATTTCCCTCCTTGTAAGGGAGGGAAATATTGGCGCAGTTTTTGAAACGCAATTTGCCCGGCATCGTTAACTGTAAGGGATGCCAACAGTGTGCCAATTTAGAGATAATTTTGACATTTACGTGTCCCAGTAGAGTAGAAGTAGCCGTGCATGTTACATTTGGGCATATAATTGTAGAAATTTAAAACTTAATTAACTTCCTATATATTATCTGCAGCCGGTTTTCCCGGTAAAAACAATAGTCAAAAATGTCGTGTTGCAGATACTGTACGTAGCCCTAGAAGTGATTATACTTATTTCTGGAAGCGCTTAAAATAAAATCCTTAATCTGCACTCACCGAAATATTTAATATTCATATAATTGTGTTTGTATATTAATATATCAGCAATCGGAGTAACCGCTCCTGTATTTTCTGAAGCCAGCTGGTCATTATATTGCTTAAAAATTAAAGCATTCTGTCCAACACTACACAGATAAATTCAGTCTATACACGCTTTTATTTTTCGGACGGAACTCTATGTTATATAGTAAATGCAGGCATTTCCTTTACATGTGGAATCCGCACGGTTCTCAGTGGGTGTGTCGTGTAAGTCATAAATATGAACTTTGGTGTAGCAGCAGATAGCTTGTGTTTCAGAGGTTATGTTTTCAAAGGTGCAATATTTTACTGTTTATCCGCCCGTCGTCGTGGCCACATACACTTAACACCACTGCAATACTCTGTCTAGCAGCAGAGGGAAGCAGCGTGGCGTTATTTCAGAGGGAGCACGCTTCACCCCCCTTTGTTCCCGTGAGTTCGATCTCTTATCCCGGAATAATAATTACATTTTGCGTGTTCAGTTCGAAGTCACAATTAAATACATTTAAAATACATTTAATTGTGACTTAAGCCATACATTTAAAAATGCGATTTTAAAACACACGATCGTATTTAGTCGTAGCATTCGGTCTAAGTTTATTTGTAGCCACAGGGTGTATTTGAGTGTTGCAGATATTGAATTCATGTCCCGAAGGTCTATTGCCAAACGACAAAGTAGGGAATCACTCTCCATTTGTGGATGACATGCTGACGCCATCTGATATCAGGGTGTTTTGCGTAAATTGAGGTACATTGCACTTTGAATGCGGAATGTAAAGGCGGGATTACCGTATCAGTCCACCTTGCCTTTGTGTACATATGACCGGTGATTAAGCGTCGGTCGGTTTCGTACCGTGATCTTTATTTCTGGGATGCCACTGCAGCACAGCCACTGTAACTCGGGGACTGAACTGCACTGGGATACTCGGCAACATCTCAGGGCCACACGCGTCGCCATTGGTAAGGGGGGGGGGGCGGTGAACATAGACTACTTTCATTATTTGTTTTGACATAATACATGTTATTTACATGGTTTTTATGTGACTTATTATTTAAAATAACCGGGACAATACTCAGAGGGGATGGGGGTTGATTACCCCTTTTTCCATTTTCGTCCTGCTACACCCGTTAAATAGATTGCATAGGACGGCAGAGAGGGATGGAGTGTCTCTCTTTCACTCTGTCTGTCTGTGTGTCTGTCTCTCTCTTTCTCTCTCTCTCTTTCTCTCTCTGTCACACACACTCCCCCGCCCCCATTTAAATACCTCGCTGGAAGCAGCTGTCTTCCGCCAGCCGTCCGCCCTTCTCTCCTGCCGCCCCGGAGGGCTTCCTTCTACACGGTCTAGGGTCATTTAAGGAGTCTGCCCCCCCCTCCCCGGTATAAAGCCCGTCTCTTCGTCGTGTGGGGAGCGCCTTTATTGGTGAACGGAAGTGTTAAGCCATAGTACCAACATGACTTTTTGTCTTACAGAAATAAGGGGAAGTTACCGATCGAGACTGTCCCGCTGAAGTGTGGACGGATCGGCAGAGAGAGAAGCAGTGGGTTTCATCCACATCGCTTTCGTTCATCTCTTTTGGTGAGTGTCACTGCTTTTACCGATGAGTATTGCTCTTTAATCGGCATTCTCGTCAGCTGCTAAGCGGTTGTTACCTATAATTTATCCTTCAGTTATCTATTCGCTATCTGGCCGGCAGCAACAAGAGATGTTTGATGAGCCGCCACGGTTTGTTAATTTTGTAAACGTATCCGAATTTGGTTCGTTTATTTGGAGTGTTAGACGTGAATCTGCCCGCTTGCGTGCCCTGCGCGGCCGCTCTGGTGCACAGATTGAATGGGAAGCGGTGACACCCAGCACGTGTTAGCGGGCGGCCATGTGGGTCCTTGTTCCGGAGGCGCCGGGCGGAGGGGGAAGCTTTTCTGGTCGGTGATCGGGGGATGGTTAAACCGGCATCCACATTCAAAGCCGTCAGTTACGCTTGTCTGCGCCGTTTCTAAAACGGAAAGATTCCGGAGACAGATATTAGCATGTATTAATGAGATCCAGAAACTTATATTGTCATGCGCACACCCCAAACCAGATAATTATATAAATTAGCGATTAGCTGGATGGACGGCCAGATACAGGTCAACGAGGAGATTTGTGCGTCGGCGATGTTATTAATTATTTCAGACTGTCTTTGTGAACAAACATGGCCTCCTTCCTTCCGTGAGCCCATTCACTTTTCGCCGGAGTTCTCGTAAGCGCTTCCTCTGTGAGTTTGCCACCATCCCCCATCACCACCGCCCGTATCCGACATGTCAAACACACGCTCGCTAACTTTAACCGTATAAACGTCGTGGAGCGGGTTCGTTTTGTTTGTTTGGGGGGGGTGCAATATAAGCCTAGAATGAGCAAATCCGGATTCGGGCTCGCACCCCCGCCCAGAAATCTCATTAATACTGAGATGGTATGAACTTGGACCAGTGTGTCTAATAGTAAATGTTTTTGTGCTGCTAATGAAACGGGGTCTAGACACACCGTCAGCAGTCTTTACGAGAAGCTCGGGTTTGGTGGATCTTGGGGGGTAAACTCCCTACTACTTGGTGATTGTTGAATCATATGCATCATCCTGGATTTTTAATTCTCATTTAAATGGCAGAAATTTTGGTTGTTAAAGGTGAACTGTGTTTTATTGTCAATGGTCTGTTCATCTGTTTCGTAGCTTTTGAAAGCGCATTAAGACTGCTTAGCTGTATATAAATATGCAGATTAAATAGTTTATTCCTGCAGAGGTGGCACGGTATTTTTCGTACTTAAGCCATAGTGATCAATTGAATGTTTACCTGTTTCTGCTGTGGTAGATAATTAAATAAGGATAATTTAAAAACGCTTTGTTTTTTATAACGATTTAGAATTGCAAACTTGTCTTGATCTGGTGTGCACATTATATCACAAAGAGGAGGTTTTTAATCCACTCACTTGTACTAAATTTTAATATATTTTAATATTTTTCTTAAAACATACATTTTTATTTGTCTTCTTTTTAGGATGCTCTTCCAACTGCTGACTGGCTCCCTTGCACAATGGAAGTCTATACGAATTGCTTAACCCCCCAGAGTCAAACAAACTCTGATATCTTGGGCATTCCCAGAGGATAGCAATAGCCCCCGCCGGACTCTCCACCCCCCCCCATCCCTACAGCACGTTAGAAACGTTGCCAAGCGTATCTGTTTACATTTAACCTCCTCTTGTAGCAAAGGAGAAGGTTTAAACATTTTTATTGAAGTTCACACTGTATTAAAATCCACACTGTAATACCTCATTTTTTTCTACATTGTTTCGTAAATACTATTTTTGTACAGATATTTATTGCTTGAACCATCTCACCGTAGGATTGTAACATTCTAGTAAGTTAAGCACTAAGCTGTGAGCAATGGCGTCTGTCACTCCTGTTTTGGCTACCGTGGCTGCCACTATGATGCCGTCGATGAATCCCCCACTCTCCAACTACCTCTGGCTTCTCATCTTGGGCTTCGTCATCGCCTTCATCCTGGCCTTCTCTGTTGGCGCCAATGACGTTGCCAACTCCTTCGGCACGGCCGTGGGCTCTGGCGTGGTCACTCTCAGGCAGGCCTGCATCCTGGCCACCATCTTCGAGACGCTGGGCTCTGTGCTCCTGGGCGCCAGCGTGAGCGAGACCATACGGAAGGGCATCATCGACGTGAACGTCTACAACGGATCGGAGCCGTTGATGATGGCGGGCTCCGTCAGCGCCATGTTCGGTGAGCCTCGTGCTGAGAGATGGACGTCGTCTCGTGACGGCTGTTATGCACGTTTGGATGAGTTGGCGCCATGGTAGGAGGGTCAGGTGTGCAAAGTGACGGCCAATCAGAGCGTCTCTGCTCCTGCCTCAGGGTCTGCTGTGTGGCAGCTGCTGGCTTCGTTTTTGAAGCTCCCCATTTCGGGAACGCATTGCATTGTGGGAGCCACCATTGGATTTTCCCTGGTGGCGAGGGGCATGAATGGAGTCCGCTGGAATCAGCTGATCAAGATCGGTGAGTGAGCAGCCGAAAGAAGCCTCGAGCCGGTCGTTGTGGCATTTATGATCCGTGACACGTGTTAGTTCTGTGGATCTGTTCGTCATTCATGCAATTGTTATTTATCGGTTATCCAATTGTGGCTGGCACAGCTTATGCTGGGGCCGCAAGGCAAAGCACATTCTGTGTGAGACTCTCATCCATTGCAGTTAATCTGAGCAGATTAGAATGAATTTGTGCTGCTTCACTGGACTGAAACTGATTAATTTTAGAAAAAAACAAAACAAGGTTTGACTCAAGTGTCCTACCATTAAAGAATTAAGGGCTTAAGTCGTGAAATCCAAGCACTTTCACTCAGTGGGAATTTTCTTGGTTTTGAGCTTCAGTGATGTTTATGTAATCGATGCGATATAGTTTGTCATAGATGTGCATATGACTAGCATTTTGCATTTGAAATAAGGTAATTGGAATGGGTTAGAGTGGTTCTGCCCTTGGGGTGTGTTCAGCCCAATCTGAGGTCTCCTCTCCCCCTGCAGTGGGTTCCTGGTTCCTCTCTCCAGTTTTGTCTGGCATCATGTCTGCTCTGGTCTTCGTACTCGTCCGTATGCTCATCCTGCGCAAGGTAAGAACAGTGATGACGATGCAGAATGAATTCATGTATGTGTATGTGTTTAAACGCTCACAGTTTTTCTTGAGGGGTTTCAGCTCGGCGTTTCTCGCCCCGGTCCTTGGGGACCCCCGACAGACCACGTTTTTCCTCACTACCAGCTTCCCCAAGGACCAGTTTGAGAAATTCTATTTTAGCAGATGGGTGTTTCCTCCTGACCACTTTATCTTTGTAAGCTCTGTGCCTTCACATGTGTGATACCGGCGAGGCCTTTGTGGGTGGAGAGCTGGAGGGGGGGGGGGGGTCTTTGGCTGCTGGAAGGCAGGGAGGGGACTGAGCCCCTGCTGGATCAGCCTAGGCTGCAGTGGGAGTGTAACAGTTAGGTAGCCATATTCATTTCTATGTGCCTTTCTATGTGTGTCCCACAGAAAGACCCTGTTCCCAGCGGCCTGAGGGCTTTGCCCATCTTCTATGCTGTGACCATTGGAATCAACCTCTTCTCCATCTTGTTCTCTGCAAGTATGTATCACCTGCGGGGGGGGGGGCCCAGTTTGGGTTTGGGTTTGGGTGCGTCACGTGTCTGTGTTTAGTTGCCGAGCGGGATTTAATTCTGACTGGTAGGTGTGAGATGCACAGTGTGTATAGGTGAGACTGACGCCTGTGACTATTTTATGTTTTTCTTTTTCCTTCGTTTTTCGGTCATTAGTCAATTGTTTTGTTTGTTTTTTTTTGTTTCCCCCCCCCCCCCCCCCCCCCCTTAATTTTTCCCTTGATAAACAGCCAGAGTTACTCATTCTGTGCCTCCGTCACACACCCACAGGTGAAGTCCAGTCCAGCTCATCTGAGAGCTCGTTGATGGTGGAGAAGGACTGCCAGGGGCCGCTCCTGAAGACGGCTCCAGAGCAGATCCAGGCATTCGCGCCTGCCCCCCCGGCAGCCCCGTGTAAGGAGTTCAGCGTGACCTTTGACGTCGGCGAGGAGGACGGCGAGGAGCGAGAAGGCACCGCTGTCCCCATTGACGGTGAGCCTGACGAGATCTCATCCCTTGGGCCTGCCATGTCTGTCGTGCACAGTTTACATCCACTAACCGTGACCGTAGGCGCACTTTGCGCGAAAATCCCCAGCAGCCTGGACAGAATTCACTGTTGGCTGGTAAAGGGGCTGCTTGTCTTTTCTGGGCTCGTTTTGGCTGCGGTTCTGTTCATGGCTCCAGGTACCAAGTCGTTTCGTGTGTCTGAATGAAAGTGAAGATGGACCTTACAGGAACTTGATAGTTCTAATTAGGGGTGCACCGATCGATCGGCGCACCGATCGATCGGCCTCGATCACGTTAATTTGAGGGGATCAGAAATCGACCATATTCCCATGAGATCCACCGATCTTAGTTATATGCTTTTAACTCTTTGGGGTCGAGTATGTCGTCGACGACATCGCGTA